CCGGGCTCCTGGCTCCGGAGCCTTTCTGCCCCGGACTCCCTGGTGGACAGTCCTGCGGGTTCCCTCTCCCCTCGGCCCCAGACGGCCGCCCGCGGGGCGCCTCCGGAGCGCCTAGGGGCCGCGTCGCGGGCGCCTTTTCTTCACCTGGCTCAGAGCGCGGGGTGTCTGTCCCTCCCCCGGAGGGCAGCGCCCCGGTTGCCCTCTCGCCCAGGGTTCCCTCTCTCTCCGCCTCCTTCCGGGCTCGAGGCGCCCTCACCCTCTCCGCTCCTTTCCGGGGGCAGCGTCCTGGGAGTCCTGGCTCTATCTCCCTGCGGGCATGGGGCATCCTTTCCTCCTCTGTGTCTCTGGGGGCTGCGCCTGTGTTATCTCCGATTGCGCCTCCCTGAGGGCCTGGGTTCTCCTTGCCACTTCTTAGTCTCCCCCCACTCACATCACTGCGGGCCCCTTTCTCCCCGCTGTCCCTCAAGGCATGGGAAGTCCTCTCTCCCTTCCCAGTCCCCCAGGGAACACCACCTCCCCCGGGTCTCTCTCATCCTGCCTCTGGATACATCTTTTTCTCTTCTCTTTCCCGAGGGTACTCGGGCATCTCTGTGGGCAGATCTCCCGCCTGCCCTCCGCCCCCACCACGGAAACGCTCCCCCTATCCCGCCGCCTGGTGGTCGCAGCAACCTCCTCTCTTCTGCCTTCTGAGGGGAGGTGGGGGTTACCGCCGAGCTCCCACCTACTCCCCTCCCCCCAAAGGCGGAAGACTCTTGGGCACCCGCCTGTGGCTGGGAGGTTGCACCTGGGGTAGCGGGGCAGGGGGAAGGAGGAAGGGGGGTGACTGTGGGGGAAGTAGCTGGTGGCTGGGCCCCTCGGGCTGCCTGACATGCCTCCTTCTCTCTTCGCAGGGGCTTTGGGAAGCAAGGATTCCAGTGCCAAGGTAGGCTGTGGGGATCTGGGGATGCTGTTTGTGGGAAGAGATGGTGAAAAAGACTTTCTAGAAGTGACTGAGTTAGGCAGAGAGTGAAGGAATCACTTTTGTCAGAGTGACCTCCCAAGCTAGGAATTCATCACCACAAAAGGGTCCTTTTAAGGGGTGTGTGTTTATGGGGCAGTGATGCTCCATCCAGGAAAGGCTGGTGGAGCTGGGAAGGCCTACAGGCCAAGGAAGTGCATCCACCCTTTCCCCTGTCCCAGCTCCAGAAGAGTCAAAACGGGTCTCCTGAGCCTGTCCTGCCTGGCTAATCCTGCTTCTGGAGGAAGTGTCTCCAGGGGCCATTTCTGGGAGGACCCCTCCTCCCTAATTCCTGCTCACTTGCCCTTCCTCATGTCACAGAGTGGGATTCTGCTTCTTCTCCTGCCTCACAGAGGTCTCTGCAGGTGGCTGCTGCCTCTGCAGATGGTGCATCCCCTTGAAAGGTTACTGTGGTTGTCCCTGGGCCTCCTCCCTCTCTCAAAGAGGTGGTTCCAGATGGGCTGCCTCTCAGATCCTGCTTTAAATCACCCTTTCTATCTTCTGGCTAGATACAGGAGGGACTCCAAGTGGCTGGTCACCTGGGTCCTTGCATCTGGTTTGAGATCCTTGACCCTAGCTGGGGATGCCCAACCTAGTGGTGTCTTTTAATCATGTGTAAGGTGGCCTCACTGTCTCTGCTTACAGGTTTGCTCTCCAGGGCCAAATCACCGATAGTCTTGTTTAGCCCATAGGTGTCAAACGTTTTTTGAATTTGATGTCAACGTTTTTGAAGTGGGAGATTTCACATACTCATCTGAATTTCCAGCTTCGAGGTTGCTGAGGATTGGTCCCACTTTCTTGTCAGAACAATCATTTGGAGCTGAGAGCAGCTGTTTCCGTAGACAAGGCGCATGTTCACCATTTTGTCTCAGTGCCTCCCCACCAGGCCTGCTTCACCCGTTTCTGGCACCTGTAGTCATTTGAGTTTGCAACTTCTGGTCTGGAGAGTCGTCCCCTCTGCCCCCCCTCCCCCAATTTGGGCCAGGCGTGGTTGAGTTTGGTGAGAAATGTCACATTTCTGGGGTATGTCATAGGGGCAAATTGGCCGTCCTGGTGAGCAGGGTTTAGATGAGGAGAAGAAAGTGTTTGACTGTTAAGAAGTCTATGTGCCCTAGCACTGATTGACAGTCTTGTTGTAGCACCTCCGCCCTCCAGGGAAAAGTAAAGTGATCCCGGTGAGGGTGGGTGGCATTGTCAGCTGTACAGAATGCTCACAGCATGGCACTGCTGTCTTCTAAGGCTCTTGTGTCTTCTCCCTTGAGATCTGGGACAGGGCCGGCTCAGCCAGTGACCCGCCCAGCCTCTCTTACCAAGTCTTGGAGCCCCAATTTCATGCACTGCCTGGAGGACTTCCCAAATCCCTTTAAGTGGCAACAACTGAGGTCCTGGTGCAAACAGTTGGATTGTTTTCTAGAACTTTGTCTGACCCTTCAAGCAGAATACCAATGGTGTCTTGGTGCCGGAATGCGTAGATATTTGAGGTTACCTTTCGTTTCCATGAATCGGTTTCTGTCTTTGTCTCATGCTGAGGTCAGGATGATTTTTGAACATCTTTACTGCTACTCTCCTATCCCACCTGCTCTGCAGTTATTAATGGTTGGGAAAGTCATTTTAGAATGTGAGGATGATGACACATCTGAAGCAGGAGATCCTTTTCTTCAAGGCCTGGAAAACGATAGGAATTTTCTGGTGTAGTGAGAGTAAAGCAGAATTAAGAGTTCTAATGAAATGTGGCCACTTTAAAGGTAGGAGGCCTGTTTTTTTAATCGCCTTTCTTTTTCTCCTCTCCCTGGGTGGCAGTATAGGGTAGTGAGCATATGCACAGGCTGTCAGGCAGTTCACTGTGGGTTTGAGTCCTGGCTTTGAGACTACCCAGCCGTGTTACTTAGCTTCTCTGTACCTCAGGCTCCTCATCTGTACAATGGGTCCAATAACAGTACCTACCTTAAGAAGTTGCTGAGCAGCTCAAAGGTGTTGCAATATACTATATGCTTGGACCAGAGCTTAGCACATAGTAAGCACTCAAAAAATATTAGCTCTTATGATTGTCCTCAGTGGTGGGGCAGCCTGTGTGAGAGCAGCCTGGCTCTGCAGGGTTGCTTTGCTATGAAACTGCTGCCAGGTGAGAGTCAAAATCCAGCTATGAACATGTGGTCACCCTATGTCACTGCTTTGGCAGTGTATTCCATTTGGGCTGGAGAGTAGGAAGGAGCAAGAGAGGGGACGGGGCAGGTTGGCAGCCTCTGAAATTGCGATGCTTAGGATGGGGACATCCAGGAAGGGGAGAAGATTATCCTCAGACATGCTCAGAGTTACCTGGGACTCATTTTGGAACCATAAAGGAGTTCTTTATCTGAGTATTTTTGGCACCATGTAGTTCCTGATAAAGTGAATCTAACTGAGATGGAATCAGCATTGTATAGAAGATACATAAGGTTTATTCTCGCATCCAAGTCAGAAGTCCGGGGCCCTACATTCCTTTCAGTTTTCTGCTCCACCATCCCAGGAGTGACAATTATCTCATGGTCCCAGAAGGTTGCCACACTCTCCAGTCATCACATCCTTATTTCAACCGGTAGGAAGGAGGAAAGGGTAAAGAAAGGCAAAAGACAAAGGCTCACTGTCGCTTACGGAAGTTGCCACAAGGTACTTCTGCTTATATGCTGTTGGCTAGAACTTTATCGCATACCCACACCTTGCTGCAAAGTAGTGTGTGAGAAAGGTAATGTTAATTTCAGGTGGCCGTGTTCCCAGCTAAAAGCTAGGGCGGGGGGTGTTCCATTTCAAAAGCAGAAGGGGAGCGAGGATATAGTCTCTGCCATTCTTGAGTAGGAGGTGTGTCAGATGATCATAAGGCAAGGAAACCACTGAGCTTCCGTGCTCCCTTGTGCTGCCATGGAAACTGGAGATGCTGGGATGGGCTGAGAGAGGAAAGATGGAAAGTTCATAAATCATGGGAAATTATGGATTTCTATGTGCTTAGAGGAGCTTAAGAATAGATTTTCTTGCTTTTGTACTGCTAGAGGACAAAACTCTAGATTGACTGCCACATAATTTCTTCCTTTTTGTTTCTACTCTCTCTACTTTCTGTTAAACCACTCTCTGTGAGGTAGTTTAAGAGTGTTTCTCATGACAGGAGACTGGGGCTTCAGAGGAGCCTAGAATCTGCATTTGTGCTTTAATTGTAATTAAGACAAGCCTTTGGGTGGAGTAAGACTCTTACCCCAAGAAGCTTTTGCAATTTGGCAGAGAGAAAAACTTTTTTTTTTTTTAAAGGAAGTCACTTCAGTAGAAATAGGGAGACAATAAAATATAGAGATTCAGAACTCGTAGCATGGGGTTTGGAGTCAGATAGAACTGGGTTTGAATCTCTGCTCTGCCACTTACTAACTGTGTGACCTTGGGAAAGTCATCTACCTGTAGTGGCCTCAGTTTCCTCATCTGTAAAATGGGGTTAGTAGTGTCTACCTCATAGGGTTATGGTGAGGAGTAATGAGGTGGTGCAAGAGAGATATCCATGCTAAGTGTCAATGACTCTAAGCGAGATGATCATTATTGCTTGATTAGCTGGAGGAAACTGTGGAACAAAGTTAATTCTGAAACTCATTAAATGACTGTGCCTCTTCAGTGTATTTAGATGGATTTTCTTCTCAAGTATGTTTCTTCATAGACTTTGGGTAACAGCAGTGAGTGCACAGCTCACCGTCAGGGCCCAGACAGCCAGGCTTGTTTAGGTTGTGTTTTCTCACACCTTTCCTTGTGAGAAAGATCTAAACTTAACATGAATTCTCTAGAAAAACTCCAGTGCACTAATTTTCTGACTATGAAGATCTAGCATTGATGGTTATAATGAGTAAACCAGCTCTTCACTTTCCTGTGTAGGTTAGAAAGTATGTTTTTTAACCTTCTAATAGAAATTATTCTTAAAAAACCCCAAAGTGTTGCATGAATCCACCATTGCTGTTTTCATCAACATCAACTCTATAGAATACTAGTTTATTTTAGTCTGTAGTTAATGTGTATAGATTAGAATATGTGCTTTTTAAAAACAACAATCAAAGATGAATCAAAGGTTAATTTTATTTTTGGCATAGTTTTCCCTGTGAACTTATAATATGATATTCTGCACTTCAGGTTGAGCTTTCTCAGTAAAATCGTAAAGAGGACTTGTGTGTGTGTGTGTGTGTGTGTGCGTGTGTGCGCAGTCACCAAGCCAGGCTGCACTTACTGGGTCTTCTGTTATTCCACTTCCCTCCCTTCCCAGGAGCAGATCCCAGAGGCCTGTGAGTGAAACTCCACTCACCTTTTGGCTGATTCTGAATGCATCCTGGGGGCTTCTGTGTGGATAAAAGGCAGAAGCTTTTTGACTCTGTGTTTGATGGTTTGACTTTTTAATTTTTTCCACTTGAAGTGGGATTTCAGGCCCACAGTCCCAATTGAAATAAAAATCTGTAGATGGATTAACGTTGGGTCTTAAAAAGGAGGGCTGGTTTGTTGAAGAGGCAACAGCAAATTCATTTTGAGCTGTAGAGCACTCAGGGAAAATGTGAAGCTTTGTCACTGGGCAACAGAATGCCTTTCTAAGTAAATATGGAAAATATGACCTTTGAAAATCTAGTTGATATGATATACAGGTTCTTAGAAACTAATTTAAAAAAAGATATTATTTCCGAGGACTAGTGGACACTCCAGGTACTGCCCAGAACCAAATACAGCATGTTGGTGGTGTATATGGATCAGTAAAGAAAAAGATGGAGAGAAGGGAATGCTCTGGTTTTTTGAGTCTGCAGTCCAGTTAATTCTTGGTTGGGTGGGGGGTCAGCTGAAAAGCTCATCATTTTTGGCTGATGCATGCAAAAGCTAGTTCCCTTATCATTTTTGGCATTTGGTCTAATATCATGGATTCTTTGACTTTACTCATCCGA